TCTGTCTGTCTGTCTGTCTGTCTCCCTCTCTGTCTGTCTCCCTGTCTGTCTGTCTGTCTCTCTGTCTGTCTGTCTCCCTCTCTGTCTGTCTGTCTCACTGTCTCTTTGTCTGTCTGTTTCAGGAGCAGCAGATGTTGAAGTTGCCAAAGAGAGACGGTCAGGAGTCTGTGAGGAACGTTCAGCTTCGAGACACAAACACTGCTCAGGTAAGTTAATAATATTAATAACAATAATAACAATAATAACACACAGAGCACTAAACACTACTGAGCATGTGCAGTGAGACCTTTATGTTTCACCTGGTTACCGTGGTTCTCTACAGAAGTTGCAGGCGGCCATATCAGATGCTCAAGTGGCGCAGCAGCAGCACCGCATGGCGAGACAGAAGTCGCAGCGCTTCCTCAAGGCCAACTAGAAACAGTGATGTCACCTCCTGTTCACTGCTGATCTTTATTACTTATGAGATGCAAAGGAAATATTCATATAAACGTGTTTTTCAGCGGTGGAGATGAATTTTAGTTTCTTTGTTTAAACTTCCTGTCGTCAGTTGGAATCCATCCAAAGAGCTGAATCCGCAGAGGTTGTGGGTTTGATTTCCACTGGATGCTCTTATTTTGAAGGTGGAGTTGTCCAAAGGGCTGGGTCAGCCGGGGTTTGGGTTTGTTTTCAACTGGATGCTCTTATTTTGATGGTATACAAAGTCACACTGCTGTGAGGCATTCTGGGTAAAAATCTGGAGTGGCTGGAGTCATGTGACTGTTATTGAATGTAATGTTTCTAATCAATCTAATCAATCATCCTGTTTATAATTACTTAAATCTAAGTTCTAAACATTAATGTGGAGACGAGTTGAGTTATCTTTATTTTTATTTTGATATATTTTTATTTTATTTTAATAGGAGTCTCTTCAGTTTGAAGGTTTGGGGTATTTTGTCCCTGCTGTTTGCCTGCAGGCTGCACTGTCTCATGTTTGAAGATGAAGCCATAAAAACATGTTGCACTAAACAAATATAGTAATCTAGTTGTTGATGATGATGAAGATGAAGAATGTTTGCTGGAGTTTATCTTCAGAGAAATAAACAAAAATTTCACCAAAAAGAGAATAAAAGACTGAGAAGATTTAGACAATCTGACTGTTCAGTTTGATTCCTTCCTTCTGTCATCGATCGATGAATCCAAGGATACCCGAGGATATAATAGTTTACATGTTCGCTTGTATTTTTATCGTCTGAAATCTGTTTTTTATCTTCATTTTCATGTTGAACTTAAAACGAATAAGATGATGTATAACCTGAATAAATGTCTATAAAGATAAAATGAAGTCTGCTGGACTGTTTTTTTCAGCTTTAATATCCGAGTGAGACGTCACCAGTTGTATTCACAGAACATCTTCGGGTTTAAAGGGACAGTCACACATTAATGTTGATGAATATTTACCCATTTACTTCCATTCTATGTGAGCAGGAATAAAACCATCTCTGCTGTTATTGATAGTTTTGATTTATTGATTAGTTGATTGAATCTTTATTAAGTGTTTTAAAGTAGCTTGTGTTTGTGTTGTTGAGTCCTCTGGAACTCTAACGTCTCTCAGAATGAATTAATACAAAATCATGAAGTATTATAGTTTGGACAGACAGACATGTATATATAGAGAGAGAGACATATATATATATATATATATATATATATATATAGATATACAGATATAGAGACAGAGAGACACATATATATAGACACACGGGGACCAGTCTCTCAACAACACGGCTCTCCAAATACCAACCAGAGTAAAACACATCATGGCGAGATGTAAAGAAGCACTGGAGCACTGGAGAGAGGAAACTGGGGGCCAAAGCAGACTGGAATGTGATCTGGCCCTAGAGAGAGACGATGAATTGGCAGAGTACCTCTCTACAGTCAGAGACATGAAGCAGAGACAGAACCTCACCAAGTACAGGCTCAGTGACCACAAACTGGAGATTGAACCAGGACGACACAAAAAGTCATGGCAACCAAGAGAGAACAGAACATGTGGTCACTGTGGGACCGGTGAGGCTGAGACGGAGATGCACTTCCTCCTAAAATGCAAAACATTCCATAAAATTAGGAACATCTACCTAAACAAATTTGACTCTTTAAAAAATGGAGTGATATCTCAAAATGAAAAGGAGAAGGAGAGAGGAGACCTTGCTGCCCAGTATGTACTAACATGCCACAACCTGAGGGACAGCAGGTGACGCTTTGGCGATGCCGTTCCTGGGCGTTCACGCCAATGGAGCAGATCTGAGTTTGGGTTGAATTGGCAGAGAGACGGAGAGAGAGAGAGATCTATCTATCCGTGGATCTCTCTCTCACTTCGCTCCTCCCTTTGCTTCGGTGTCAGAGAGCTGCGGTGGCCTACAGGTAACGTGGGAGCAATGGAGGCTCTGTCTCACACCACTTTATGAGATGTTGTATTAATATTAT